ATCTATGGCAATACAAATCAGGGTAGTGTTTGTCCTTGAAGGGGGTGGTCACCAGGAAATGACACAGAGGGTGGTTCCTGAGGTGTGATGATACTTTTGTTTCTGAGACAGAGCCTACCTCTGTCACCTGGACTGGAGGGCAGTGATGCAATCACAGTTCACTGCAACCTCTGCCTCCCAGGCTCAAGCAATGCTCTCACCTCAACCTCCCAAGTAGCTGGAACCACAAACACGTACCACCACACCTGGCTAATTTTGTATTTTTTGTAGAGGTGGGGTTTCACCATGTTGCCCAGGCTGGTCTTGAACTCCTGGGCTCAAGGGATCCTCCCACCTCAGCCTCCTGAGTAGTAGGGACTACAGGCATGCGTGCCACCACACCTGGTTAATTTTTGTCTCCCTGTATTTCCCAGACTGGTCTTGAACTCCTGGGCTCAAGCAATCCTCCTGCCTCGGCCCCTGAAAGTGCTGAGATGACAGGTGTGAGCCATCGTGCCAGGCCTATGGTGATGTTCTGTTTCTCCATCCATCTGCTACTTACTTACCCAGGACGTTCACAAGGTGTTTACAGAGCTGTGCACATTTCTGTGTGTGTATGTATCACGCATTACAGATATATCTACATATATGTATTATAAAATAAATATGACTTCATTTACATTATGCTCAATAAAAAGTTACAGATGAAGTAGCCATGCTCCACCAGCCTGGTTTGCGGGAGTAATAGTTCTTACCTAACCAGTGATGGACGTGTGTCATGAGCAAAAAAAATCTTTGCTTGTCACATGCCACTAAGACTTTGGGGCTGCCATCACAACATAGCCTAGCCTAGCCTAACTGATACACGGTTTAAAACTTAGACACAAAAAGGAAAAGCTATTAAGAAAAAAGACTGTTAAATGTACAGAACACACTATAAACATATTTTTTAAGAAAACGGGGTGGGAGAAGAGTGTGATACTGGAGCCAACCTGAAAAACTCCAACAGTCAAAGAAAGAACAATGTGAGCAACAAAATCAGTATATAATGTTGGACTTTAATCCAAAGTGTAAAGTAATATGCACGAATCCATACTGCCATAAGTGATTGAGTAAGTAAATGGAGAGGAGACAAATCTTCCTCATAGAACAATTCCAAATTAGACATACGTAGCTACTTCTCTCCAAGAAGTGATGCTTAACCCCTCCGCCCCTTTGAGTGTGGACTGGACTTAGGTGACTTGTTCTGAAGAACACAGTATGGAAAGGGAAAAACAGTAACTTTACAGAAGAGAAACTTAGCAAACACGATTTTAACCAAATGACTGTGACTAACCCGTGATGTCATGTGGATTTCACGTACCTCTGACGAGAAGTGATAGAAGAGCTCTTCACCTTCTGTGGTACTCATGCCAAAAATCCAGTCTAGTCATGAGGAAAACAAGCAGACACACCCAATTTGAGGGACATTCTACAATATACATGACCCGTTCTCCTCAAAACTGTCAGGATCACGAAAAACAAGGAAAGGCTGACAAACTTTCACAGACCTTAGGTGGCTAGGCAGATGACAGCTAAATGCAATGTGGATTGAAATTCAGAATAGAGAAAGG